GCAGCCGATAGAGATCTGAAGGGGCATTAAAATAACAGCGAGGGTCTCGCCCTTGTGGCAGGGGCAGGAGACGTACCCGGGGGGCAGGAGACGTACCCAGGGGGCAGGAGACGTACCCAGAGGGCAGGAGACGTACCCAGAGGGCAGGAGATGTACCCAGGGGGCAGGAGACGTACCCAGGCCCCTCCGAATGGACCGAGGAATCGGGGCCCCACTCTGATCAAGCTGCAGAACCTGAGGGCAGCTCCAAATGGGTGTGGAATCAGAGACTAAGGATTTAGAACCCCCCCCCCCCCAAAAGGGCTGCAGAATCATCCCCCATCCATATGGGATGATTCTCAAAGGCTGCAGCTTATAAGTCAAATGGATCCCTGAAACTCCCCCCCCCCACGTGTCATCAACAGAGCTTTTGGAATGAGGAAACTCGACTGTGTCACACACACACACACACACACAGGTTTGTGATTATATCTTTGTGGGGACTCTCCATTTATTTCTATGGGGAAAACTCTAATCCCAACATGACGACCTTAACCCCTACCCAGCCCCAACCTTAACCATAAATACCCAAACAAAGCTTTTAGCTTTTTGATTGCATTCACAAATCTTTCCGGGGACCTGAAAAATGGTCCCCACAATGTCAAAATAATAGGTTTTTTATCACATTCTGCGGGACATTTGGTCCCCACAATGTAATATAAACATAATACACACACACACACATGACTGGCACATGTGCTTTAAACACCTTTGAAATCTGTCTCGTTGGCATGTAGCCACGGTACTTTAGTGTGAAGAAACGCCAAGGCTGGCACACAGTACCTGCGCTGTCCAATCAGAGTGAGCCTCAGGTGATTTGGAGCAAGTCACATTGGTCACCGGGACCGTGGGTCCTTAATCACGGCGAGGCATGAGTTCCAAACCCTTCACCCATTCCCCAGCGCCTGTGGAGCCTTCATTAGAGATTTTGCTGGGGAAATGATAAAATATTATGTATGAAATGAATCATTAACACGGTCCATTAAGTTCTGTATTCCCCTTTAATTGAATTTGTCAGCAGTATCCTCTTTAACTTAAAACCAGTCATAACAGCTAAATTAAATAATAATTAAAGAAACAACTATTACGAGATCGGCCACGAAGACGACGGTGGAGCCCTGCACTGTAATTTATTTAAATTGCGGAGCAGTGGCGAGGTGGGCGGAGCCGAATGGCGCATGCTCAGAGTGGGACCGGGAACCTGCCCCGTAGGACGTCGGCTCTAACCCCGTGTGATGCCCCATTAACGCCCCTCTCTCACCATCTCCCGCGCGCTTTGTAGATACGCTCAGAAACTTGTAAGTTAAACTTGTAAATGTCAGGCCTACACAATGAATTTTACACTGTTTCCCCCTTCACTTTGCCGGCGTGACCTGTTAACGCTGGTTATTAATTACGGTTGTGGGGGGGGGGGGTATGCAGCAGGCAGCACATGGCCTCCTGAATCATCCCCAGGAGCAGACGAGCAGTAGACACTGTCAGGGAAGGAGTGGAAGGACAGATGAATAAACAGATAGATAATTGGACATAATGAACTGGGTTCTGCCTAGACTGTGCTCTCTCTCTCTCTCTCTCTCTCTCTCCTTTCTCTCTCTTATAGGCATGTGTTGGGTGGAGGTGGGAGTAGGGATGGGGGCATAATCAGTGGGTGCTGGTTTGGGAACAAGGGCAAGTGTCCAGCAGGGGGAGATAAGACAAAAGGAAAAAAGTCCTCTTTTCCCCCCTCCTGGATCATCATCTCCGTGTCTCTTGGGCTTGGGATGGGGGCGGAGAAGGCCCGCTAGATTTGCATTAGCCCCAAACTTCCTGCTGTGAGAGGTGCACTGGGCTTCACTGAGAATGTGCCCCCTTTTGTCCTGTGCTGTGTGTGTGAGTGCGCGTAAGCGTGTGCTTGTGAGTGTGTGTGTGAGTGTGTGTGAGTCCTGCCCGTGTGGGACATGAGCATCTGTTTCATCTGGGCCATGTCTGACTGTCTGCATTATGATGGATGATCGTAGCTGCTGTGACTCTGCAGTGACTCGTCTTTGTCTCTGCTGTGACTCGCCGTTGCCTCTGCTGTGACTGATAAGTCATTCATAATCCCCAATGCACCCATAGAAATTAGCTTCAGCTCATGCTGCTGCATTAAGTGATTTTGAAAGTGTTTTACTTGGTTAGAAATGTGCGTTACAATTTCTAGGAACGACCGAAGTCAGGAATAATGTAATCAGTGATATGAAAGCCTAAAAAGGCTGGAGGAATATTGCCTCCGTCGCCCCCCCCATGCCTGTTGCTTGTGGTCGGTCCAGATTGAAGCACTTCAGTGACTCCCGGCCGACTGGTGAGATCACTCCGCAAATGCATCCGAGGACCCTTGAGTTTGACCTTGTGACCTTTGGCACTGTGAGAGTGTGGGTATAGGGGTGCACTGGTCCTTTGCTTTGTATTTATCTCCTCTGCACACCCCCAGCCCCCCCCCCCCCCCCCCCCCCCCCCCCCCCCCAGCCCTTCAGATGGAGAAGCAGCTGCCGGATTGAGGTGGATCCATTTCACCCCTGAAAGGAGTCCTTCAGTCGTGTCCCTGTTTCTCCGGATGAGAGGCCCGTTCTCCTGTCCAGGGGTAATGGGAAGGTGGCACTGCAGATAGGTGCTGACAGACCAGGCTCAAATACCCACTGGCCACTGGTCGCTCGTGGGGTCGCCTTGTAACAGTCACCGTGTTCGGTTTTGCTAGTCAACATGACGTACGTCAACCCACATTTTGTGACAGGCAGATATCCAGATACCCGTAAGGATTAAAGGGGTCTTCTGAACAAGGTGACTCTCCTGTCCTCTTATACAGTATTACTACCCCGCCTAGCAGGATGACGACGTCGCCACGTTCCCTCACACCAGCCTCATTAAGGCGCTCTGTCCCTATCCAGCCTCTGTGAAACTCCAGCTCTTGTCTGTGTAGCCGTTTGTAACACCCCTGTGTGTACTTCCTGGTCAGAGGGTTTCCATGGCTATTGGGCAGCCAATCGCAGCGGCCCTTTCAGCGCATTGGATTCAAATGTCCCTGGGGCAGCCGTCCCATTTAAACAAGGCGAGACACTTCACAGACAGGGAGGGGGCCAATTAATTCTGCCTGGGGCGCTGCTCCAAGGTTAGCATTTGCTTATACTGATAAATTGGTGCTTTGTATCCACAGTAAACTACTCCTGTGCCCCTGTTTTCCATGGCATAGTGATGCTTACGAATAGCATTGGGCGTGGGGGGGGGCGGGGGGTCATTAAAGGAGCTCGTTGCTACCTTTTTGCAAGGGTGCCTCACCACCGTTAGTGAGAAATTAATTAAAATGGAGCCCCGGTCACTGTCCGTGTAAATGCCGTTCGTAGAGAACATTTATCAGAGGCCGCAGATTGCTATGGCGGTTGTCTGGGGGAATTTTCCCGGAAGAAAATGCCTCTGCGAGTTTTAGTGGGACTGTTTTCTGTTTTTAGATGGAAAATGCAAGTTGGTGAAGTGTTTAAAACGTGCAAATATCAAGTCAGTTCAACATGCGGGTATTTAGATGGCAGACTCACACCTCATGTTGATCACGTCGTTATATGCGCTGACGATGTATCGGTGTGTGGGGGGGCTGTGGGGGGGGTGTGCGCTATCGTTAGCACTTTAATTAAGAGATGAGAGCGGGGTCACCGAACATGCTGCAGTCACCTCTGACTGGGCTGCATAATGACCAGTCAGGCACCAGTCAGGCACCAGTGCAAGTTTCAGTGACAAGCAACTCACCAAAGAACAAGTGTGATTCCGGAGAAAAGCACACATGAAAAAAATAAGTAATTCATTAAAACAATTATACACACACACACACACACACACATACTGTATATACATATTTACTGTATTGCAAATGAATTGCAAATACAGTGCCCCTGAATCTCATCAATTGATTCCAAAACAGCGTAAGTTCAGGACCCTTATGTAAAAGTGGCTATTTATGTTGCATATTTCCCAACCTGTCGTATACTTTAAGTAATGTCTAGATTCCCGAACTGTACCTATACAATGTAAATTCTGTGTAAAAACAGTACAGTAGTTGTTATGATGTATTGTTTAGAGAAAAATTACAAAAAAAATATTGTAAATGTACTGTTCTGTATGATGATTCTTCCCGAAACAACACAATATAAAACTATCAAAGCACATTGTGCTACACTAAACATCAAGAGTTTTTTTTTCCCTTCACACACTGCTGAATCCTTTAGTGATGTAACAACATTATGTACAGGTCTAACTAAACCTCTGTTTTTAAAATATTTTCGAACCACAATCATTCAAAACCAAAAACCAAACTCACACCGCGTATGATGTGTTACTGAAATTATGTACGTATATTTTATCACAAACACAGTGCCAACATAAAATAAAATCCTTGGCAAAACTGAATAGGCAAACAAATAACTAAATCTCGAACACAAAGCAAAATTCAAAAAAAGTAATTAAAAAACATTAAGAAATGCCACTCGTTTACACGTGACGGCAATGACAGGACGCGCCCGTGCGTGATGGTGAAAAGTAAATTAAAAAAATAACCGGTATGTAATTAATTTTTCCGGTTGTGTGGCACTGAATTCCAGTGCCAGCACTTCTGCGTTTCATTCCACAGGGGCTTGTCTCGCACCAGACACATCTGTGACATTAGGAGGTCCCCACTCTGAAATGCTGCCTGTGTTGTGTCACGTTGGCAAAATGCGGAATGTTTTTGTTGCTCCCGTTCTTACGGAGCAGCTCATGCTAATGCGCCGTAGCTCAGCTTTGCCTTTGCTATTAGCATTATTATTGCTGTCTTCCTTGCAGTTTTTACTCCCCTTCTGTCTCCTGTCTTTTTTCCCCATATATATCCACACACCTCCTCCCTGCTCCTGTGGGCTCGCTGGGACTTTCTGAATGCGCATTTTCTGCATTAAAAAAAAAAAAAAAAAAGTGCATTTGAATCTCATCTCGGGAAAGATCACTGTCGGGAGGCCTGGAGTTGAAGGGGTCTAGAACACCACCCCCCCCCCAACCTGCAACACCCCCAAGAAAGGCAATCTAGTTGTGCAACGGCGGAAGAAAATGTAATCAGCTTCGGAGGGCGTCAGAGTTGCAGATAACGGGCTGTACCAAGCTCTAGGTTATGGAAGGGAGACGAGGCAACACTCCCGATTCCTAAGGTCAATCCAAAATGACTGGATGCCCCAGAGCTTGCCTGTTCTGGGTAGGAGAAACAAGCCCCGCAGGATTTACATGGTGTTGCAGCCTCACAGAGAAGCTGCCGTAGCTTTGTCGTGTTAGCATATCACCCCTTTGACATGTTAGCTTCTCTACGCTGTCCCTTTAGCATTTGCATGCTAGCGTGCTGACATTGCGTAATGTGTTAGCAGCCTGACGGTGGTGTACTAGTTCTTTGGCGCTGGTACGTTAACGTCGGCACTTTAGTCCTTTGGTATGTTAGCCTTTCTGATGTTTCATGTTAGCCCTTCGGTGTTGCAGTTTAATTCTTTGATATTGGGATTTTTGCCGTTAGCCGTTTGGTGTTGACGCATTAGCCCTTAGCCCGTTGGCATTTAAGCCGACTACTTTCTTATCAGTGTCATCAGTCGCCCAGCAGGGATGCTGTGGGTCAGCTGACATTGAGTGGCTGCGCCGCTCGTCCCGGGGACGCTGGGAGCAGCTGTGCCGGGCAGAAGGCCGCCTCTCGTGCTGTCACTTCGTTACGCTTCTCAGCATTGATCGCCGTCACTCTGGGCCGCCATCAATCGGCAGCTGCTGAGCTGTTCCGTCTTCCCCGGTGCCCCGGCCGCGTGGCGAGTTTCCCAGCTGCACCGGATCACAGCGTCTCCCGCAGGGGTGAACAGCGATCTCATCGGCTGCTCTGGGCCTGTCACTGTGGCCCATTAAACATCTGATCAACTCCAGTCTTCCCTGGAATAGCTCCCTCATGTGGTGGGGCTATAATACCCTGTAGTTTCATGAATAAATAGCTAATCCCTCTTAAGGAGAGAACAGTAAAAAGTAACTTTTTTAGGTTTCCCACCTTATTAGTTTTCCCAGTAAAACAATGAATTGACACATGGCAGCTCTTGGTAGAAAATCCTAAGAATGAATTAGCTTAGCAGAATGAATGAGGAGGGAATATTTAAAACTTGTCTTTCTTTCTCCCTCTTTCAGTGCAACTTTTCATCAAAGAAATAACCCGAAACTGGACATTTTAATAGTTAACAGAAATGATTTTGACATTGAAATGGAGGATATATTTATTTTCTAGGAAATGTTGTTGTAAAGAAAAAAAAAAAGTGTAAACGGTATTTATTTTGTCGTTCATTGTGTACTTTCTTATATTAGATTTAGTTTAAGAGCAGCAGGACTTTTCAAGCCTCAGAGCTGCAAAGAAAAAGCATCGATAACATTTTTTTTAAGACTTTCCTATTGGTTGGGGTGTCCCAAGGGGGTGGTCGTAGCCCTCGGCGGGCCTGACAGCTTCTAGGGGTGGCCTTCAAACTGTCCGACAGAAAACGCAAAAGCGAAGGACGAATGAAGGACACAATGAGCGGGAAAAACCCGTCGACCCAAGAGGCTGGCGGGAAGAGTGAATGAAAGCAAAAAAAAAAAAAAATACGGACAGAGGAAAAAAGGGAAGAGTGTCACCGTTTGACACTCCCTCCGGCTAATCCCTCGCTTTTTCGGGGGGCTCATTGAGTGAAAGGCGCCCATTCCTTGTAGCTGGAGGTAGTGAATGGGGGGGTGGAGGGGGGGAGGTGGAGACAAGCTGTGTGAGGTGTGAGAGAGACCGGGGAGGAGAATGGGCTACTTGAATACCTGCCATCAGCTCCTTCAACATGAATAGGCCTAATGAACGTGAGTAAGTGCCAGCAGTTCTGTCCCAGCTGCACCCACACAGGTAATACCGCTCGCTTTTAATTGGGAGCAGGTACTGGGGGAGGCTGTATTACTTTAATTGGCAAGGGGGGGCTCCCAAATGGAAAAGACAAAGTATAATGGCCAAATTGTGGTGCACAATAGCACTTAGCTTGGGATTGTGTGCACTGGCTTAATCTGCGGAGGAATGAGGCAAATCTGGACAATTTTCTCAGCAAGACGGGCCCCGCAAGGCTTGTACCTTTTGTTCTCCCTTGGGAAAATGTAAGATTGAAACAGAAAATACCTTTACCGGGGCAATCCTGTGCCACGTGCGAGAAGTGGATACAGCAGTGAGCTAGCGGGTGGGGGGGGGCATCTTTGTACTGGAAGAAAGGATGGAAGGGAGGATAATGGGCTGGCGGTGGAAGTGTGACAGCCGGCCATAGAGGGATGACGTGACGGGGATTTGGGTGACGGATGAGTCCGACGTGGGGTCCGGGCAGCCCCGTTCTCCAAGGACCCCTGAACAGATAATTAAAAATAGCCCTGTAAAGTAGCCCTGTAAAGTAGCCCTGTAAGGTAGCCCTGTAGAGTAGCTCTGTAAAGTAGCCCTGTAAAATAGCCCTGTAAAGTAGCTATGTAAAGTAGCCCTGTAGATTAGCCCTGTAAAGTAGCTCTGTAAAGTAGCCCTGTAGATTAGCCCTGTAAAGTAGCCCTGCGTAACGTTCAGGCTGCTGGGCTCATAATTGATAATTAAGCGACAGATTTTCGGTCACATGATTTGCCCTCGTGCACGTGGCCAGAGGGAGCGCCTAAGAGGGAACTAATGGGTTCAGAAGCGGGGGGGGGGGGGGGTGACTTCAGTTGATGCGAGTTAGTGCCCACCCCCAGCCAGGTGCACCGAGGACGCCGTCGAGCGGAGCTGAAAGCGACGTCGACACACGGCCCCGCTGTACCGGCCTGGCAATGCCCCCTGTGGACCCGTTTTCTATGAGGCGTGACACACTTGCCGGCATGGGGGCACATTAAGACTACGCGTTGTGGGGGGGGGGTTGCAGTGAGGTCATGGTGCAGCAGTGCTGCATATCTGCTGAAAGGTCACTGCAGCAGCACACTGATGTGCCCCCCCCTTGCAGGACAACTCGCTATTAGACCTTGTTGAAAAATCCCTCTTAACCCTGCTGACATTCAACATGGCATGAATGGTGCTGGGGTCACATCCTTGCTTTTAGCTTCAGGTGCCACGTCACACACACTTGGACTTAGTCACTGTGCATTGGCACGAGTACTTTCTGCTGCTGCACAAGTCTGATTGATTCAAGGCAGGGAATAACGCAAGACCGGGCACCCACACACTTTCAGACTCCACTTCACCTTGGCGTGCTTTTGGACTGGTGGGGGGCAGAGAACACCCCATGATGGCATGGGGAACACATGCAAACTCCACACATGCACAGCCGGGTGGAGACTTGAACCCTGGTCCCAGAGGCGTAAGACAACAGTGTTAAAACTGTGCCTCCTTGCCATGATTGATGGGATTTATATTTGAAATGATAAATAATAAAGAAAAGAAAGTTTTTCAAGGAACTTTCTCTACTGTTTATTGTTTTTCTTTCCCTCAAACTCACTTTTCCTATGAGAATCAGCGCTTTTCCCGGCGATCAGTCAGCCAGTCAGTAGCATCAAGGCCGATGGAGGGACGTACTTGACACTATTTCAGAAACACTGGTTCAATTAATTAAGAGGAGGTGGAATTAAGTATCTGGGTGTTTACTTTCATTCTGATAGTACCGCTGAATACAAATGCTAAATCAGAAATGATTCACGTAAGTATTAAGTTAAAAACAGAAGCCTCTGAACTACAGAGCAAAACCACAATTTCTTTATTTCATGTCATTTTCCAAAATTCAGCAGCATTACCTGTGGCTTGTTCCCACCTTTGTTTTAGGTTATTGGTCCATCAGAAATGAGTGGAAGGACCCAAGGACACTGATTCACGCTAGAGAAGCTGCGGTTTACAGACTCATCCTTCGTTGTTGCCATTGTGACTGCAGAACCACTACATGCTGTAGGTACGTCTGGCTGGGATGGCACAGTAGGGCTTATGAAGGCAGGAGGATGCTGATTGGTCAATATTCTGGGTCACATGACCTGAAAGGGGTATGACCAGACCAGTATGGAGGTCATAAGGGTCTTTGTTTCTTAAAACTTAAACAGCTACCTGTTTAGCAAAATGGGAATGGACACAGAGAAGGAAAATTCTAGGATTTTCTTTTAAGGTGGGGGCATAAGAGGGGCCAGTCAGCTCCAGTGTCTCTGGCTCCGCCCCTGTATTTGCCCCTGAAGACAGAGAACTCACCCCTCATATGCTGAGAGTTGGCATGTAGCCCCAGTGAACACAGCCTGGGGAACTGAACCGTAACGGTGCCCCCCCCCCCGGTGAGAATGTAAAAGGAGGACATTGTGACAGTGCTGCTGCTTTTTCAGGGCAGGTTGCTGCCAGAGCGATAGGCACAGATTAGGCGACGTGAGAATCAATAAATCATAAGGACATTGGTAAGTGGCGATAATGCAGCATAGGGCAAGTCCTGCCACGCCCAAGGCCACCTGAAGGGGGTGCCGGACCAACACGGCAGCTCAGCCACGCAACACAGAGAGGGATCGGCCCCCTCTCCCATCCAGCGTGTCAAAACAAAGCGCTTTGGCATAAATGCGCCATTCGCGGGCCCCCGTCTAACCCCCCCCCCATCACTGGCTCTGTCATTAGCCACACGCGTTGCCTTCAATTAGTGCTTTATAAATCAGATATTTGTCACTTTTAATGAACAGAATATCCTATTAATACAGGTTTTAAGATGAGCATTTGGTGGTGGGGGGGGGGGTAGGAGTGTCGGGAGTGATTGATTTAGTCATACGTGTTACACGCACGTGTTTAACATACTGTATCTGTGCATGTCAGCTGCACGTTCTGCATGCTAAACTGTCACAGTTATAAATACATTGCTAAAACCGCAAAATATAATGATAAGTAAAATAGATATGGCAAATGCAGAAGGAAATATATTAATGAAACATACAAAAATATATATATCGTGTGGACAGACCCGAAACGTCACGCCTCACTAGTGAAGGAGTGATGAGGGATGAGAAAGACTGGAGAGATTTAGATATTCTTTACTTTCATAGCAGCCCCTTCCACCCTCTGGGTTGAGGTCTACCACAGCAGAATGCGGGGCGCGGCGAGCGGGGCGTGGATGCAGCAGGACGAGCAGGAGGCACAGAGGGATCAAAGTGAAGAGAGCAGAGTGGAGGGAGCTGAAAGGGTTGGCAGAGAAGGAGGAGGCTTTAAGGTGAGATTTGAAGACCTGGAGAGAGGGCGGATTTGCGGATATCAGAAGGAAGGGGATTGCGAAGACGGGGAGCCACCCTGGAGAAGCTGTGGCGTCCAGAAAGGAACAGCAAGGAGGCCTGAAGATCTAGAGCACAAGGGGGTTTTAGCGCAGCAGAAGATCAGGCAGCTAGTGCAGTTCCTCCACGCTTTCTGTCCGGTCACCCCGGAGGCAGAGTTGCGACCGAGGTCACCAGCCCAAACTGGCGTTTCTGTTGCTGCCTGGACTCCGACACCGACAATGTGCTCCGTGCCAGGCAGAGATCTGAGACACGGTTACCTGTAGACACCAACTGCTTTCTGGCTTCCCACAGATCCTCAGCAGTTGTATTGTCTTTCAGCTTGTCTCTGATCCATTTTCACACTTGGAGGTGAATCTTCTCGCCCTTTTTCACTTATATAGAGACACTTTCCCAAGCACATGAACCGATGTACAGTGAGTTCACACTCCTCTGTTGCAACACAACCTGCAGTGTTTTTAAACCCCAGCGCCAACCTGCTATCACAACTTTTAATCCTTTTTTTTCCCCCTTCTCCTGGATGTTATTGTCTCCCTTACCTACACTGCTAGACTAAACAGAGTTTTAATTATCACAGGTGACGTTCAGCTTGTCACGACATTGAAAGCTAAGCTCTGCCAGCTGTAATGCTGCTTGCCTCGCGGGGGGTGGGGGGGGGGGGGGTGGTGGTAGGCTAATGTGGGGGATGGTGGGTCCAATCAGTGACCGCTAACCACGCAACCAGTTTGGGCTGCTCTTGGATTTACATAGAATTGGGGTGCCGATCTTTGGCCTAATCTGACGGCCTTTTAACATCTAGTCACGACTACTGGTTGCTAAGTGGATATTAGGATCGTGCCTTGAGGTCAGAGGTCATGTGGTGTGACATCATCACACATGCTCCTTACTGACAGATTGCCGATGCAAAGCACTTGATACCAAGCATCCTGCTTACTGGTTAATTGACTTAATTATATTTCGATTGCCTTTGTATAGACTTTTTACAATTAGTGCATTTGTCGCTTCTAATGAATGGAATGAAATGTCCTGGAAACAATCAATTAAACTGCAAACAAATTCTAATTAAATAAAAGAAAATGATACCCTAGTCCTTAAGTATGAACTAATTGTGGGTTTTGTTCAGTCCATATCGGAGTGATCCGTCATGCCTGGGTATGAACATGGTTCATGGCGGGCACCTTAATAATTCAGTGTCAAGCGTCTGGATCTGTGCGTCCTGCAAGGAAGTGATGCCAGCGACAGTCGCAGTACATGCTGCAAAGGCGTCATGCATGTGTGCGCATGTGTGTATGCTCTGTTATAAATGGTAATATGCATGTAATTAAAATCAAGACAAAAAAATCTGAAATACGGCTCTGCTTGATAAACAATTTCTATAACTTTATATCCCCTGTAAATATGATCACTATATCCAGGGGTGTGGCTAGACATTCTGGGTCCCCTGACAAAATGTCGACTGCTCCCCCCCCACCCAATTTTACATATAATTTTACATATTCAAGGGCCCTTGACAAGTGCTGGGTCCCCAGAACCTGCCCCTCAGGTACTCCTGAATAAATATGACACTATAAGTTTGTCTGTCAGAGATTGTGTGTAGAGTTTGTCTTGTTCTCCATCAAACTGGTGACACAGCATCCGGCCCCGATATACTCTAATTCACAGCTTCTGACTGTGGGGAGAAAGACCCAGTGACACGGATTAAAATGACATTAAAGCCGCAGGAGGGAGGTGTCCTTCTGTTGCTGTTTATACCGAGGACGGATGTAACCCACTGCAAAACAGATTCTCAGCTCACTGTTTTGCTCTCTCTGTCAGGGCACCCATCGCCACTGCGAAAAAGTGCTGCTTTTTTTCGGGGAGGTAAGAACATTTCAAAAAACGTACTGCACTGTTTCTCTGCAGCTGTAATCTGCACACTGTGTCATATTTGTCAAACCAGGCCAGAGTAAACTGCAGAATACACATTTCACGTGGAAGCCTGTCTGGTCTGCGACTAATCGGCATGGCAATGTCAGTTTCACCAAGTTTTCTTTCAGGTTTTCTTTTGCTTATACATATTCGCAGGTTATACAACAAAAACACAAAGAGATCAGTGAGTTTAGCTGTAATTTAAGGCAAATTATTTTCTCCTTTAACTTCCACACTTAGTTTTTCTAGACAAAAAAAAGCATTTTATTATTGTTGTTGTTGTTAAACAGTCTAGTCTGATTTATAAATGGAAATGACATATTGCTCAGGGGTGAGTTTCAGGTGCCTTTCAAAGTGCCTGTCTGGTGACTGAGGCCCCAGAGCTGAGTTCCAGGTGGCCGTTAAAAGTGCCTGTCTGGCCGTGAAGGCCCCCGTCTTCCCTCCGTGTCCTGTTCCTATACTACTGCTCCTCCTCTGCCTCTCCCTCTGGAGCTCTAACCGGGTTATGTTGCGGAGCTGTTATGTAACATCTCGCTTTGAGAGGAATGTGTTCAGTGCGGCCGTCTCCGGCACAATTATGCTAATGGGCGGCTGAGACACACAGAGCGAAATGGAAATTGGCGCAGCCCGAGAAAAAAGCGTAATTAATGACAATTGCAAAGGTAGACATTTATGCCTTGATGAAAATTTATTTCTTCGATTGCCCTACGAAAAAGGGCTTGGTTTTTCATAACGGTGTGCAAATGATCAAATTATGTCCTCGTTTGATGACTAATAAAATTAAAAATAAAATAATGATTCTTCGCTATCCCACTCGGTTTTGTATTTTCAGGGGCTCACAAGTGTCAGGAAGTAGGATTTCCTGGAGAGACGTGCGAGGTTTGGTTTGGAGATTGCGGCATTGTGGGAACGTTTGCGACACTGGGGAGACGGCAAACAGCCATCCATCAAACAGAGGCGGATGAAATGGTCTGTTTCTTGCGATTCAGCTTCATTTCTATGATGAAGTGCAGTCAGAATACGAAACTGCAGATGTTAAATGACTAATCAGAGAGGCTTGAGGACCCCCCCCCCCCAACGCCCCCCATCCAGAAAAGCGACATAGTACAGGGTGTGGGAATGTGAGCTCGCCCAAGTGGTGTGAGCGATGCTCATGGTCTTTAAAGGAGATGCTGATGAGGTCAGTGTCCCGTTAAAAAATCCCACGGCCATTCAAACAGGCAAGAGGTAAGGACATAACTAGGTAACATACAACTTAACAGACTAGACATGCATCTCTGACTCAGTGTAACTGCTGTTGGTAAACTTTAGTGCTTTAACAGAGAAACCAGAGAAACTGTCCTACAAGGATTAAGCACCTGACCCTTTTAATGCGTGTGGGCGGTAAGTCACAGCACCTCTCATCGTGACAGGCGTGTTTTAGATTCTTGGGGAGTTAGTTTATCCTAAACAAGAGCTCTCTTCAGGTCCTCAAAACAAGGAAAGTCTCCCCTAGTATAGGTCTTTATGATGATCTTCCTTGATTTATGAGAGTTCATGACAGAATCTGAACTGTTCAATAAGGTCTCAGTCATTTCTCCGTTTCTGCTGTAGGAAGTTCCTCAGGTCATTCACAGCCTTGTCCTCACCTGTCCACTCAACCTACTGCTGTGGAATTTCAGCTTTGCACATTACCTTCGGATAACAGAGCTTATTAATAAAAATTACACAGGTCTCCATCCATGCTGGTCTTGGCGTTCCAGTCACCTTGAAACTAGGTTGTGACAGCTTTTTATGAAAAGGTTGTACATGTAACGAATGTGATTCGTCGAAATCTGATACCTCGAGTGCAGCAGAAACATGGACCGTAAAATACTGACATATACCAGAGCATCGTTGCAGACGATCAGATCTTTGCCGGGTGTGACTCATTGATTTCCTTTCTTGGAGTCAGACTCTTTCATCCTGCCCATCTTGCTTTCTTTGGCATGTTTCATTGTTATCAGCAGGTGGCATGGTTCCGATGGGTTTGGACTTGGACCAGGAAGAGAACCGCTGTGTCCCCCTTGAGCGACTCACTTAACCTGATAGCTTAATTTTGGACACTCTGCTGTGTAAATCTGGGAGCTCTGATCTGTGGGAATGATTCATGGATGTTCGAGTAGAGAAGAAGGTGCAGGAGTGGTCAGTTTCAAGGCCAAGCTATTTGGCCTGTTAATTTCCTATGAAATTTTAAGGCTGGAAATGGTTCCAGAGTTTACCTGTACTGCGTTCCCACTTTTGAAGCAGATGTTTGGTGACAAGAACATAAGGGGACATTAGTGGAATTTCTCAAAGAAACAAACACAATGAAAACAGTGTCGCTTTGAACTGTAACAATAACAGAACTGGTAAGGGAGATCTTTGAATCTTTGGCCTTTGAAGTCACTTACTTTTCTATTTGATTTAGAAAGAGTCAGATGTCTGATGAGGAGCTGGCTGTTAATCGTCAGCTGCCACCTTGTTCTCTATCACATGAAAAAGGTATGAAAATTACCTACGTTTAAAAGTATAAATGTTATTTTTTTGCCGACTGCCAAATGTGCAAATGTCTCACGGAGTTCAGATGTCTGTCGTTCCTTATTTAAATATTACTTGTGCTGACTTACTTTCACGTACTAAAAAAACATTTAATCATTTTCTGACTTACTACCCATTAGGGACAGATGCGGCGATGACGGCTCGCAGTAACATGACAGCTCCGTGAAGCTCTTCATTTCGATGTAACTGGAGATCCGAAACGGGGAAACTGTGAAGAAATTGTTTCTCCAAGGCTTGCGGGGATTGTTGATGCAAAATATTCCTATCCCAATTCTTAAAAGTATTTATTTATTTGACTGTATTTCTTTATTTAATTCTCCTTATCCCTATGAATAAATTAGACGGGGTGATAATGACATGCTAATGCGGTGGTGGGTGGGTGGGTGGGTGTTGGGGGGTTTGCACAGCTAGTCAGCGGTTCTGGGCTGCAGCGGCTGACACCTCGAATGAAAAAGATGCGACAAAACGAGGATGATGTGTAGTCAACGGGAGCCGGGCTGGGCGATGTGAACTCGATATATTTTACACAAGCTGGATGACCTGTGGTAGAGTGAGGTCACTTCATTTTGTTTCATTTGTGTCATTTTGTTTCTTTTGTCTTTTGTCAGTTTCGTCTATTGTTTGTTTTGTATTTTGTTGATTTTGTCCACTGGTTGTTTTTTTTCTATTTTCTCTGGTGTTTGTTTTGTATTTTGTCTATTTTGTCTACTGTTTGTTTTTTTATTGTGTATTGTTTGTTTTGTATTTTGTCTATTTTGTCTACTGTTTGTTTTTTTTTTATTGTGTATTGTTTGTTTTGTCTTCAGTCTGTTTTTTTCAAGTTGCACCCTCAAACATGATCCTCCAGTGTTCCAGCTCTGAGCTCCCTGTGCTTTCAGGCGGATCCCCTTGAAGTATTTGATGACCGAGTACTTTAAAAAAAAAAAAAAAAGTTTTCCAAACTTTCGCCGGGAGTTTGAGCTCAAGGTGACACGAGACGGAAACAGCAGTGCCGTCAGCAGGTGGCACGGGTGGGTTTAACCCGCCGCTTCGCCGTTACGGTCAGCCTGCTCTGAGGAAGGGGCTGATGTCGGCCCTGGTGTCACTGCTGTCTGTGCCGGGTCATTAGAACCAGCAGGGCACGAGT